ACTCTTCATTAAAATTAGATGTGGAGCATGTGGAAAAGAAGGCCACAATCGAAGAGGATGTGGAAGACAAGTTGTTTAATTATTTGGGTTTTGTTATGCATTTTAATTATTTGGGTTGTGGTCAGTTGTGGTTGTGATTTTATATAGCTATGCTTGTATGTTGTGCAGGATGAGGCAGCCCAAAATGGGAATGTTGGCCAAAATGAAGTTCAAGCAGCTGACAATGAAAATGCAGGCCAAAATGATATTGCCCTAGCCCAAACTAATGCTGCCCCGGCCCAAACTGACACTGCCCCAGTCCAAAAAAAAGCTGCCCCAACTTAAACTTACACTGCCCCAGCCCAAATTCAAGGTAAAAGGGGCAGAGGAAGAGGCAGAGGAAGAGGAAGAGGCTTATGGAATCCAGCTACAAGGATGTCATCTTCACAACCAGTTAGTAGCCTATTATTCTTGCCCAACTCAGATTTCTTATGTTTGCCTATATAGTAATATATGTTGTTTGTGGTTTTTATCTTAGGTGGTAAGTGATAGTCAAGGAAGGGCCAATCTGCCAATGACATACTCACAACAAGTGCCCTTGCAACCATCATCCTCTTCACTTACTCAACAAACCACACCCCGTAGAGGAAGATTCAAACAGAGTGTCAAAAGAGGAGGACAAGTATAGACTGTGAAGACATATTTTGTGGACTTTTAAGACCTATTTTTGGACTCTTATGTACTTACTATGTGGATGTGTATTTTGGGTGAACAATTATAGACTCAAGTATGCTATTTGGTAATGTTATTTTGAAGGCTCTTTTGCCTATTCTATGTAATGTTCAGGTGTATTTTGGATTGTATGTAATGTGCAGTTGGTGAATGTTAATTGGTAATTGAAGCCTTTTGGATTGTATGTAATGTGCCCCTGTTCATTTGGTATACACTGCCAATTCAGCACAAAATCAGCTTATATAGAAAAACATTTTATACACTGCCAAAGAGGCACAAAATAACCTTATGCCCAGGTTTTTGCCCATTTCTACACTATGCCCATGCCATCAAAAGTTGTTCAAGAGTATATACAACATTATGCCCATTTCCTGCCATTTCTACACTACCAAATCATCCATATTGATGAACAATATCACAATCATAAAACACAACAGAATAACAACCCAGAACCACCTTTGTCTTTGTCGATAACTCAAAATTTCCCCTTCTAGTACAACAACTTGTTGACCCATTCCTAGATTTTGTTTTTTCAAAATCTTGATTTCTTCTTTCTCTTCTCTCAGTTTTTGCTCTAATTTATTCTTCTCTTCTTCCATCAATCTGAAATTCTCCGTTGTTGCTCTCAATTCGTCCTCCATTCCTCTTAGTCTTCTAAGTTACCCAGGCAAGATTTCCTTTCCTCGTACGTGGGCATGTTTCATTCTCCACCCATGCGAAAAAATGCAACCCCCTCTTACTATTCTGCAATTCAAACAAAACGAAACGCCAATTTCAGACCCAACAAAACACCAATTTCATTCTCCAACCATGCGAAAAAACGAAACACCAATTACTGTTCTGCAATTCAAACAAAAACTTACCCGATTATTGCAACATGCCTCAAATCTTCTTCCAGGATTCAGATCTGTCCATGAAGTCCGGCGTTTGATTTCCGACCCACACTCGTAGTAACGTTGGTTGTAATTTGAATCCGTCGAACTCTCCGACATTTTTCCTTCCCTCGCAGCCCCTTCTCAGTTCTTCAGTTCTTCAGTTCTTCATTTGGGGGTCGAAGTGAATGGTTTAAGTTCATATTCGAAGGAGAGTCTTCAGACTTGAAAGGACATTTTTACCCCTCATTTTAACGGACAAATTGACAGAGTTGGACGGCAGGACCTAATTGCAACTGATTGTCTAATTAAAGGATTTCATTGCCTCAAAAATTAGTTCACGGACCCAATTGCAACTGGGGCCATAGTTCAAGGACGTCTACCGTAATTAAACCCTTTTTTAACTTTCATATTTTTTCATAGCTGGCTCAAATTTACTCATTTCTATGACCCACAAATAAACCGTGGCTTATGTGTTTGCTATTACATATATACATCATTGAGAATTGAAAATTAGAATTTAAAGGCGGTTGTTTCAGAGTCTCTAGAAAAGTCTGCTGAGATTATAAATGTTGAGTTTCCTAAGAAATTTGGATAGAAGTTTGGTAGTTCTGCATTTGCTTCATATTCTAGGATGTTCTGTTTCTAGTATTAAAGGGCTTTGTATCAGCAGCAGTAGAAGGTAAGAAGAAAGAATCTCAAAGATTGTAACAGACCTTAAAATCTATGTATAACCCAATATTTTGCAGAAAAAAAATCCCCAATAAACGACATAGGTGGTGGTTGGTCACTGTCACGAAAGAATTTACTTTGAACTTTCTTTCAACGTATTCAAACTGATCGAGCAGGCTTCTCTTGACTTTTTCATATCATTTTTCAGTGCGGTGTTGGGTTCTTACTTTCTTCTGTTTAACAGTCCCTCCTTAAAATTTTGAGGGCTCTGTGCGAAACTTAAATTAGGGTCTCACATAATATAATACAAAAATGCTATAAAAAAAATTTGTCATACCTTAATGTCATAAAACAACATTTTCATCGATATCAACATTTTTATTGTCATCATTCTCATTATGCTCAACATTACCCACACATTCATACATATTGTTTTTAGTATCTTGCAATTCATCAACATCATCTTGTTGTTATTCATTGGAAATATTTTCATCAATCATAGCATGTGATTCTTTAACAATGAATCTATCTAGAGCTCCTTTTGAGATTAAGTCAATTCCTCGAATTTTCTTTTTCTAAGTAGTTTTGTATATCCAGAAACTTATTTTCTAGTAGGTGACATGTTTAGATTACAAAGAAAAATTCCAAAACCTTATAACCTGGAAGATAACCCCAAAAGAAATAGAAAAATATTTCTAAAAACTATATTTTCTTATATAACCAATCATCAACATGATAATAATTTAATAAAATAAGTCATGTAATATATAGATTGAAATTTAGATACATACATGAATTTGAATTGAGATTTGATTGAATATGACTATATGACTTTGAGTGGTTTTTATGAATTTAGGAATTAGGGTTTTGGTGTTGAAATTCCTAAAATTGAATGAATAACAAAAATTGTCAAAGGATTGAAAAAGGAACCAAAGAGATTGATGAATGATGATGATTACTTACTAGAAAATTAGAGTTTAAGAGAAAGAAGAAGTCATGAAGTTATTTATTTATTTTAATGGAAGAAAGTACTTTGATACTCGAACAAAAGAGATTGATATATATATTGATGCTGGTTAGCTTAGTTTGATGTTTCCTTTTTTTTTTTTTTTAAGGTGTTTCTATTTTTTTTTTATAGTTATTTAAAGTTTGTTGTTATAATGCAAAAATAATAAAAAACACAAATAGAATTCCTTCAACGAAACTCAAACCTGAGCCATATATTAAGGGATATGCGCTAGAAAGCCAACTCCACCACACACACTTTTGTGCCAACATTTAGCACGCTAAAGTATATATACAATTCTTGTAATATTAATATATATAATATAAAGAATATTTTTTTCGGAGGCCCTCAAAAATCGAGGGCTCTATGCAGTGGCGCCACTTGCACCACCCTAGGGCCGCCCTTGAGTATTAAAGGGTTGTTTGTTGTGCTGCGTAGCGCTCCTAGCCAAAGCAACGTTGTTTTTGGCCAGGCAAAAAATAAAAACAAAAAAAGAGGAGGAAACCGAACTATAATTCATGGGCTTTAAACACATGCTTAGGCCTGCAATTTTGTGTACTTTAAAAAGTCTTTAAACATGTTTTTCTTTCTTATGTAAACAAGGATTACAAAAGGTTTTTAAAAAGAAGGAAATCAATTGGTTCTATTGCTGTGTTTTTTTTTCCTTCTTGACCAAAAGACAATTCGTTTCTTCTTCTTTTTTTGCCTGTTTTTTGTTTTTTGTAATATACTTCTTATATTTTATTTCTCTGATTTGGCTCTTATGATCAGTATTTAGTAGCAAACTTGAGGAAGAAGAGGCTCCGAGACGTATGACTGGAGGTATGATTAATTATGATTTGTTTATATTCAATTTTTCGGTGGCTTATGTGTTTGCTGTCAAATATATACATCGTTGAGAATTGAATATTAGAATTTTAAGGCGGCTGTTTCAAAGTCTCTAGAAAAGTCAGCAGAGGTTATAAATGTTGAGTTTCCTGATAAATTTGGTATTTCTGTACATGTGCTTCATATTCTAGGATGTTCTGCTTCTAGTATTAAAGGGCTTTATTTTGCAGAAATAAAATCCCCAATATATTCTCCATCTGTTCTTCACTAAATGACATAAGTGGTTGGTTGGTTCACTGTCCGTCGCTATTGGCATATATGTTACAATCCATCTGTTCTTCCGTCGACAGACCCAACTTGGCCTCTTGAAGCTGATCGAGCATGCTTCTCTTGACTGTTTCATATGGACTTTGAAACAATTATTCTCTTGCTGCGAGAAAACAAAACTAAAAGTATGCACTAGTGTGCACCATGATTCTTCAGTGCCGTGTTGAGGTAAGCACTAGGGATCCTGACCTCCGATGTTCTATGAATAAAATTTTGTGTGGTTCATGACATTGGTGTTCACAAAAGCGATTTGTATTAACAATGTTGGCTTCCAGTTTAGTGCCCAATATACTACTATATCGGGCATCAAAAGCGTCAATGCAAACCTTTTTTGTGGACACCAATGTCAATACAAACCCCTTTTTGTGAAAAATTAGGTATTAGACATAGATAACTTTACTTATTAGTATTTAAGACATTTGATATTTTGGTTTGGGTTTTAATACCTAGAAAAGAATTGTTATTTTGGATTAGGCCAAAGAGGAAGACCAGATTTGTTGACCCACCTTACATTAGTCATTAAAAAGACAATTATACCCTTTTCATTTAAAAACCTAACCCAAAATCGTTAGTTTCTCAGATCTCTCTCTCTCTCTCCCTCTCCGCGTCTTCTCCCTTTCTCCTCCCCTGTGTTTCGACGACAAAACCCCCCAGCCACTGTCACGTCGGCCACCCAGCCACCGGACCGGTCAAGTTTTGACCGGCGTCGCACCCCAAGCCAGCTCCGACCTTCCTCCTACCTCTGCTGCTGCTGTTTTGCCGGAAAACCCCGGTTTTGATCGGATTTTTACTTGGTTTTCCAATCCCTCGATCTCTCTCCTTCGGCCCCCAAATCCTTCGATTGAGGTATGGTTTTCTAGCTAGTTTCCATTGTCTTCTTCATTTTTTTAAACAATTTTTTTGGTTTATTTGCCTCTGTTTGTTTGCAGTCCTATTTTTTTTGGTTTATTTGCCTCTATTTTTTTTTCTACAGAATTTCAGTCGTGTTTATGGTTGGTGTTTTCTATCCTTTCCACATGTTCACCTCACACCTTTTAATGAGATTATCCTTTTCTTTGGCCAGTAATGGCTATTCATAGCTCTGATAAGTAGGGCTCTTAAAGTGTATCTTTGGGTACAGTTATATATGAACCTTCAGGTCCAATTTAATGTCATTTCTTTTAAGTGAAAGTGGCTTCTCAATTGGTCATTTGTTTCTACGAATTGCTTATTAATTTTGTATGTAACCTTCATGTCAAATTTTGCATGTTTGAATTTTCAAGGCTTTTACGCTGCAGTCTTGGAGAAAGATGATGTGTTGATATCTGTAGCATCAATCAGGTAGTACTGAAATGAAGCTGTTTGTAGGGAGTTGATTTTCCAGTTTTCGTATAATTTTTTTTGTTAGTTGCTCAGTTCTTGTGATATTAATTTCATATCAAACTTCACATCAATAAAAAGATCTATTGTTTAAATCTCCAGCTTGCATCCTTATTATTTTAGTCGTTGGTATCTGTTGTCATGGTTTTTTTACTTTTAAAAAAACTGTTCTATTGCATCAATATCTATCGTTGAAACTGTTCTATTGCAAAAGTTTAATTCTTTGGATTCTTTTAGCATTCAAGAATGCCGTTCGAATATAAAATAATTGTGGAGAACATTAATTAGGTTGCATTGACATTGACTAGACCTAATGGTTTGGTGGTTTTCAATACTTGGCTTTGACATCTTTGTGCATGCATCACTATCAGTTTGGTACATGTATTTGGCTCTGCATACCCACACTCTGAACTTTTCTTCTGCATTGCAGAAAACAGAAACTGCATTGCAGAAAATGGAAACTGCAATGTAGAAAACGGAATGTGCAATGCAAAAAACAGAAACATGGATAACCTATTTTACATTCTAGGTGGTTTTCAGTCTGATGCCCTCTCTCCCAACATGTTTTGAATAAATAAAAAAACTATTGTTTTGTTTTGTTTAACTTTAGAGCTGAGCATTTTTGCCCAGGCTCAGCATTTCAGTTTCTATTTTTGTATCGCAGTTTCTGTTTCTGCATCGCAATTTCTGTTTCTGCATTGCAGTTTCTATTTCTACATTGCAGTTTCTGTTTCTGCATCGCAGTTTCCATTTTAGTACTTTCATCTTGGTTCCTCCATTTTGCTTCTATAAATTTTATTTTATTTTTATATATATAATTGATATCTACATTGTATTTTTGTTGCAGTTTCTGCTTTTATTTGCAGTTTTTATGTGAATATGTGGTGAAATGATTTTTTTTTAATTTTTAAAACCGTTGATCGTTTATATAAATATTGTATAATTGAATAAATATTACAAAATCAAGTTTGGTGTAGTGGTTTGTGAGTGAGCCCTCTTCCTTTGAAGGTCAAGGTTCGAGTCCCTTTAATGACACAAAATCTTCTTTTTTTAAAAAAAAGTGAATAAGGGGCAACGAAGTTGGTCCCATGCAGATCGTTGTAATGGATGTAGGAATTAATTTAGAAACTTATTTGAAATTAAATATTAAATTCAACATTAACGTATTAGTAATCTATATGTGATTAACTTTTTGGTTTATTTAATAAAAAAATTATGTTTTTTTTTTTCCTTTTATGAATTATACTACTAGTAATCTATTTTATTATAGTTTTATGAATAATAGTGTACATTCTAATTATGTTGAAAAATAATTTGATAATCTATTTATTGTTTTTTTTTTTACAAACATTTTTTTTAAATGAACCTATTTTTTCTCTAAATAAAGTACCCTTTTTTTTTTCTCTAAATAATGTACCCTTTTTTCTCTAAATAAAGGACCTATTACTTTTTTTATGAAAATTAATTTGATCATCTTTTTATTGTTTGATTTATGAAAACAGTTTTTTTAAAAATGAACCTATTTTTTCTCTCTAATAATGTATCCCTAGTAAAATAATTTACCTAGTATAATGAACCTATTGTTTCGCTAAATTTTGTATATATGTTTTTCTCTAAATAACGTACCTATTTTTTCTCTGAATAAAGTACCCTTTTTTTTTCTCTAAATAACGTACCTATTTTTTCTCTGAATAAAGTACCCTTTTTTTTTCTCTAAATAACGTACCTATTTTTTCTCTGAATAAAGTACCCTTTTTTTTTCTCTAAATAACGTACCTATTTTTTCTCTAAATAATGTACCTATTACTTGTTTTATGAAAAATAATTTGATAATCTATTTATTTTTTGTTTTATGAATTTTTTTTAAATGAATCTATTTTTTTCTCTAAATAATGTACCTATTTTTTCTCTCTAATAATGTATACCTAGTAAAATAATTTACCTAGTATAATGAACTTATTTTTTTTCTTCTAAATAATGTACCTATTTTTAATTTATAAAAAAAGTGCACAAATTTCAATTATACAATGTACCTATTTTCTATAAAAATTATTGTGTACCTATTTTTAATTTATGAAAAATGTATGGAAATTTCAATTGCAAAATGACCTAGTTTTTTTTTAAATTTTTTTGGTAAATAATATACCTATATTTTTATACGAATATATTTATATTTATATTTTTCATATGTACATTATTGGATATATAATTTACATATTTTATTTTTGGTTTGCAATTTTAGGGGGAGATATGTTAGAGGGAATGGCAACCAAAAGAAATGGGGTGATTGATATGCTATTAATAGGGAGTTTTAATTACAATTATGGCAATTAATGAAATGCCTGGAATAAATTATAAATAAAATATGAAGTCTGATGGCAACGATGTAAAGACATAGAATATTATGACCTCTTATATCCTACTGGTCATTTAATTTTGAAATTGGGTTTTATACATAGATTTATAGAATGACGGGTACATGTCTAGGAAATAGAAATTGGAGGGACCTATATTGGACAAGCCCTATTTTATATTATGAACCTTAGATATCGAAGCTAGACATCGTTGTTGACGAAATAATTACCTTTGATTTTTCATACAACTACGTCAAGATTGACATGCTTGTAAAAAATATGCTCCTGATAGTCATACGATGCTTTGAACTTTCTTCAACTTATGGTCGCTGATTGACTTTTCGATATGGGCAACGAAACTGTTTTATAGTCTCATCATTCTTCAGAGACTAAGCAAATGAAAATGTTGCAGCCTCCTAAAACCTCAACTCCGTTGAAAATTCAAAAGAATTAATAATATTTAAAAAAAAAAAAGAAAAAAAGAAGGAAATCATAGATGATGTAGCAAATGAGAAATTTCCATATGGCTGTGTTTTCAGGACTTTTCACTGGAATTATAGAAAGGACAGGTCACAGGCTGACTGTTTTGTGACCAGCAAAGAATGTAATAAAATAATTTCTTCACCACATGATATCATGCACATGTTTTTGAACATAATTTGACGACAACTTGCACAAAGAACTACTATAAAAGGAGCATGAAACCTAACATTTTTCACACCCATCAGTTTTCTCTCAAAGCTTGTGCTAGCAACAGCGCTTACCAAGTGAGACAAAATATTCCATAAACATCCCAGTTCTAGTGAAATGGGTTCCCTAACATTGCCTGAGCTCCCTACCATCAATTTCTCCATTGAAGACTTGAAGCCTGGCTCAGCTTCTTGGCTGTCCACCGCCAAACAAGTCCGGTTTGCGCTCGAAAAATACGGCTCTTTCGTGGCACAATATGAGCAAATTTCTGCGGAACTTTTAAACAACATGTTTGGCCAAGCCAAAGATTTGTTTGAGGTTCCCAAAGAAAACAAAGTCAAGAACGTTGGTGAGGAACCCTATCGTGGGCATATGGGTCCAAACCCTGGCATGCCACTCTATGAAAGCTTGTGCATCGATAATGTCACATCCCCACAAGAAACCCAAAAGTTCAAAAATCTCATGTGGCCTGAAGGAAAGAGCAACTTCTGGTAATTTCAATTATATTCATCGATACATGAACACACGATGTTGTAGTTGGTTCATATTATTTATAGTGCCAATAATTTGATTCAATTTCATAGTAAGATAATATAAACATTTTTCTGGCGACATAAGTTTACCGAGAAAACATAACTCGTTTAATATCTTACTTTGTTATGTACGTACTCTAATTTTATTTCTTTTTGTTTTGGCGCATGCAGTGAAACCACAGATTCATTTGGGCAGTTATTGGCACATTTGGAACGCACTGTTGAGCAACTGATGTTCGAAAGCTATGGGATTGGAAAGCAGTACGAGTCGGTTGGTAGTTCGAACGGTCACCTTCTTAGATTCATCAGATATACAGTACCAGAGGACAAGGATGCCATCGTAAGGTTTCCGAGCCACACAGACATAAACTTCACCACCATTGTTGTTCAGCATGATATCGCTGGCTTGGAGATCAGAACAAAGGAAGGTGATTGGATTAATGTTGAGTGTGCACCCTCACAAGCACAGTTCGTATTCATGGCGGGTGATGGATTGCAGGTGGGTCCCATACACCAACCAATAAATTAATACTTAATTTTTAGTTATGAACCAATAAAAAGTGTCTGATATTTAATTGCAAATTGAGGGTTTTTTTTAAATTTATTTTTAAATTCGGTTCTTAATAATTAAAATTTTAAATTGAAGGCCATTAATAAATAAATAAAAGCATCAATTTGATGTGAAAGTTTTAACTTGGTGTTTGATGAAATTAATTAGGTGTGGAGCAATGACAGAATAAAAGCTTGCCACCACCGAGTGAAGCATTGTGGAAACAAGACAAGATATTCAATTGGACTGTTTACATTCAACAATGGGATTTTCCAAGTGCCAGAAGAATTAGTGGACGAAAGCCACCCACTCCTCTACAACCCATTTGATAGCCGTGCCTTTATTCGAAAATATGCTACTACTCCAGAGCTCAAGAAGGAACCCTCTCCTATCAAGGCCTTTGCCGGTGTCAAATCTTAATTTGCATACTAAAGACAATAGTCACCTGGCACCAGTCACTCCAATTAATTGTAACACTTGGCGGAGCCAATTAAGGCCCACAAAAGTCACTTGGCCCTTCTCAACATTTTGAAAATATTATATTTATCTATGTTATCCAAATTATTTTATAGCTATATTTACTAGGGATCTTTAGTAATATACCCAAAATAGGGGCTGAAATTATAAAAAAAAACCCCACATGGAATGCACTTTATAAACATACCCAAAAATTATTTACTACATAATAAATGAGTGTTGAAGTTCCTATAAATTACATCTCTACCATTAATTAACTGAACACAAGCCCAACACAAAAAACTCAAAAAAAACTCAAAACAAGCCCAACCCAAATTTTTTTCAAAAACCCAAACTAAAAAAAAAATGTCACGAAAATCAAGGAGCTGTCCTTACGACCCTTCTCCATCGAACCTCCGTACACTGTTAATACCATGTCATAGAAGTACATTGTTAATACCATTTCATAAAAGTACATTGCTAATACCATTTCATAGAAATACATTGTTAATACCATGTTATAGAAGTACACTGTTAATACCATGTCATAGAAGCACATTGTTAATACTATTTCATAGAAGTACATTGTCAATACCATTTCATACAAAAAATTTTAAAAAACCTAAAAAAACCTAGCAAGACATCCAATATCTTTTGCAGGAACCACCTCTAATTGTCCATAGTTTCACCACATATAATCGCAAAGGTAAAAGGAAATACCTCTACAAGAAAGAAAAAAGTACATTGTTAATACTATGTAATAGAAGTACATTGTTAATACTATGTCATAGAAGATGTCGTGAGTACTAAATTCTCCAGAAGCTTTGATTACCACCTAGTAAAACAACATCCAAACTTACACAACTACGTAGTGCTTACATTATCAATGATAGACTCAAGAAGATCTTTGACAATTTCAAGTCAGATTCCATCATTATGGCAATCACCATTTGCTTAACCTGAAACCAAACAGAGGCTGCTTATTTTAAATATCGTGTTTGTGTTCATACAAGGTATCAAACGTAAAAATACCCATAAAAACATAAATTTCCTTGGAGACTTAGACAGTAAAAAAGTAGTACAAGACTCACTTTTTCTCGCTCAATGAACCTGGTTTGTCTCAGATCATAGACCCTAAATGCAACTGCAAGTAATTAACAAACAACATAAGATAACAAGAAAGACACACACACAACATTTAGCTTTGCCTCTTATAGCAGTAAGACTTACAATCAATTTTATCATCTGTATGGGCATATGGATGGAAGACATTGAGTGCATGAACAAACTCATCAAATTCAAAGACACCATTTTCTTTTCATCAAAGAGATCAAAAACCTGGAAAAGCAAAATCCAATTCGCGTAAGTAGGTGCAGGGAATAATATATGTATCCTAGTCAATTAGTTCAAGATGTTGGTATGAAGCATATGCCCTGTCCAGGAAAAGATTTTCACCATAGGGAATAGTGCTAGTTGAAACTCTTCCTGCAACATAATCATC